ACACACACACACACACACACACACACACACACACACACACCAACTCGAACAAATGTATCATGCACATGTAGAAAACTCCATTTTTCTTCCATTATAATCAGGCGCACAAAGAAACAATAATATGTGAAAACACAACTCGCGAGCTTGTTAACTCCAGCAATACCAGGACACCTGGAGGGCAGATGTCTACGCTCGCAGCACTGAAAGCTCTATTTCTTAATAACACTCCAATCATAGTCCATAGGGTGCCATAGACTGTCAACTGGAAGAGTAGATTGGTATAATGGGAAACATGAGGCATACGCGCTGGGCAACTTAAGACGATAGACCCTCCAGGTGATCTAATTATCTGTTTTTTCAATAAAAGCTGGCCGGGCGGCACAGACAACGCCTTTATCAATTATTGGAAGCGTGAAGCTCCTATCATTGGCTGTCTTCCTACTGTCTTGTGTGGCTACCAGAGACGTTTGAGTGATTGTTTTAATCGATGACGACCGATATCAAATGAGAAGGCACAGTGAAGCAGCAACGCGACCTCACTAAGCCTGAATATCCACCGCCTTTGCTCTAAATAAGATGGGTGACACGAAAAATGGAAGAAGTTCGTATCATTGTTTTGGCTTTTCAAAGATTGTATTCGGGAAATAGATATGCAAAAACGAATTATACCCAAATCGCCGCTTGGTCTTTTTTTCTGTTCTTATTATATAGCTTTTGAATACGGCAATATGAATGTAATAATCTGAACAATTAAGTTATTGCCAAAATGCTTACCACAGGTAAAGTCGATGTACATCTGCATAAGACGGAACTTTCCGTTCCACGACAAAACATTGAGAAAAATGTTTCCTATATTAAATCTCTGACTGGTCGTTTTTACCATCACGGAATTCTTGATGATATTACCTTTCTTAAATCCATGACAAGTCTGGAATGAAAACTGTTTTCAAACACAACTTGTCATACAGGCGCACTCACACAAAAAAAACCCTGGCAAGACGCACATATCCTTTTCAGGAACGGAATGGACAAAACTAGGAAATAAAACTCTTCACGCCAGCTGCTGATATATGTGATTGCGCATTTCTTGAGATACTTAAGAAACAGAACAGGTTATACAGGGGAAAACACATTTCATAGATAGATGGATGGATGGATGGATAGCGAACACACTCTCTCACACACAAATACACACACACACACACACAC